ATTTAAAATATGTTATAAATTTTATTTTGAAAATTAAAAAACATTATATATATATATGTATATTATATTATAAGATACATAATACTACGTACAAATGTTAATATTGTCAGTATTAATTTATCTGCATTATTTGATATTTGGATAAATATATGTATCTACTAGCTACATAAAAGATCAATCAATAAAATAATAACGGGATGAGCTAAAATAATCGCATGATTTGAATAAGTAATTATCTTTATTGCAGTCAAAACGCGGCCGGTAATGTCATCAATTTTCTATTTTCTTTCTGAATTTATTTTATACAATAAATTATTGTAAAGAGTTAGTTCTTTACAAAAAGTAAAAAGTATAGAACATTTTTTTTATATACAAAATATAATTTCTCAATTTAGTTTCTCAAATGTTTTTCAAGAAAAAATGTCTACAATTAAAAGATTTATATGTAAATGAAAGCGATATGTAAGAATTATTTAAATATATATTAATTTCTATCGATGAGTTTTATCGAAGATAGTATTTCTTTTGTAATGTATAACCTTAAGAAGATATTTGCATGACTCTACGCACGTTATATGTTTACTACTAGGTATATCGACAATGCTATCAGTTTTGGATGGTTTCTCGAAGTGACAAGACCGTGATTCCGTATACATGCTCTTAATACTAAAAACTTGTGGCTGGTTCAACAAATACGATAAATCATAAAATAAATATTCAACAAGGTACTTATATATTTCTATCTGAGCGTATGCATATAAAAATGTGTAGAAATAGTATACAGCGCTTTAATTTTCTAAAAGACCTTTTTTCTCAGTTTTTCTCAGTTTTATATAGACATTAATATGCTTCTTTTATTGCAAATACTATTTTTATTTGTTGTATATATTGCAACTAACAAAGACATTTCGACGTGTATTGTTATAGCATTTTTTGACCAATTTGTCATATAAAATAATAAATAAGTTTTAAATCTACCAATAAGCCAAATATAAAATAATAAACAAGTTTTAAATCCAAGCCAAGTTCTAACGTTATAAAGTTATTGTGTGCAATTTTACAGTTGGGCTATAAAATTATCTCAAAAATATTTCAAATTATCTATTTTGTGTGTGTGTATTTTAAAACATTTTCTTGCAATAAATGCTTAATGTTAATGTTCTCTATCATAACATAATAAGTAGGATATGTTAAGTTGGATATAAAATGAGCAAATAAAGAACGAAAAATGGGTCAATATTTTGTTTTAAAATATGAGTATAAAGTTAAAAAATAAGTATAACATGACAAATGTTAACAAAATTTCTCTTAGCATCTTTTTCATATTTGATCCGATTTGCTATATTAACAAAATTTGAAATAAATTTAATTTTGGCTGTCCGTTTATTGTTCGTTTATTTTTAAAATATCTTTTACTTAAGGTTACAAGGAACGAATAGATTTTCAAAATAACGTGCTAATAAACATACAAAATATCACGGATGAAATATAGTTGTTGTTCGAAAATACTTCATCTCTTATATATTTTGATATGTTAATATTTCTAAATTTTACATAAATTTTTATGAAGAAGATTAAGATTACTTAAACTTATTTTATATGTACAACACTACAATACGCAAGACACAAAGATATATAATAACACTAAAGAAAATCTTAAAAAAAAGATAACTGACTTGAAAGAAATACAAATTATATATTATATTCGCATCATTTAAAATTAAGTAAAGTAAGTTGTACTATGCAGAGGAGACATATGTCTTTACTTTTCAGATTTAAGAACATAATTCAAGTATTTCGTTTGAATGAGTTTTATTTATTCTTAATTTCGCTCTTTATATGTGATCTTTTAATTTATTAATAAATTATATTAATTTTCACTCATTTCTGAATTAATCGTATTTTCTTATTAAAGTTAGGATATATATTCTCTTGCATGTTTCTTTATTAAAAGTCGACCGATTCGCATTATCTTTATATTTATCTTGTTTTTAATCAAAAAACGTTTTTGTAGATATCAAAAAAAAGCTTATTAGAGCATGACAATCTTAAAATTATTATTAATTAGTATATTATACATTGCCGCAATGGCAATAGCGAATCCTACCGACGAAAGATGGGAAGTCATACAGCGTAATGCATTTAATTACAATTCGTCAGACTACATACTACCGTTGCATTATGAGATGCAATTAAAATTATTCGATTACTCGATTCGATACTCCGATTATCTCAACGGCAAATGCATAATTATAATTTATATTATTTTTGCAACACAACACATAAGTTTTCATGCACCATCTTTGATGAATATAATAAATTCGAAGTTAAAGCAAATTAACAATGAGAGTGAGATTATTTATAGCATAAAATCTATACATAATGAAGATAATATTAGAGTTTTCAATTTCGATAATATGCTGTTACCTGGAATTTATACTCTGTATATAAAATATAACATTCGAATTAATGAAGACTTTTTCGAATGTATGTATACGGATGAAGGAGGATATAAAGAGTAAGTAGAAATATTAATTAAAACTAAATTGTACATTTGTACATTCTATGCTTTCAACCCTTTAAAACTAAATATCTAACGCATATCGTTAAAATGCAGCAGGTGGTTAATTGCAACAGGTTTCCAACCAAAAAAAGGACAAATATTTCCGTCTTGGGACAAGCCAAAATTAAAACTCTCTTTTAATATTTCCATTATGCATCATCAAAAATACATAGCTCTATCGAATATGCCAATAAGAGTAACTAAATTTGCGCCTAATGATATGATGTGGACATATTTTCACCAAACCTCTTTGATATCCATGGATAGTATAGTATTTGTTGTATCCAATCTTCAACGGAACTTAAACTCTGTTGAGACCGTCAACGTGTGGTGCAGACCACAATTAGTATCACACATAATACACGCGCAATCCTTTGCTGAAAATATCACTATGTACTTAGAAAATTTCTGGAATAATTCGAGGAGAATCCTGGAGTGGACACTTCTTTCTGCTAAAAGGAAAGTGGATCATATTGCAATCCCGGACTCTAGTTATGAAGTCAAGCAAACTTTGGGATTTGTTTTTTATAAGTAATTTTTATAAATAATATATAATTATAATATATAATATATAATTAAAGACAGATATACTATAATGTATTCAAGTAAAAATTATATTAGTATCTTTTTATACATTAGTGATATTATGCATAATGATTTTTAGAGAATCAGATATCATCTATAATGAAGAATTAGATCCTGTCACGCGAAAAATGATAATTGCGCGTTTAATAGCACGCGAAATGGCACAAAAATATATCGGCAATCTGTTGAGTCCAACTTATTGGTTTCATCTATGGTTAAACGAAGGTTTTATCATGTTTCTTCAAACATATATTATCGAGAAGGTTGTTTTATTTCTAACACTATTTGAATATGTAGTCAAAACAATTAAGAATATAGCAATATAAACAATTCTTAAATATTTGTGTAAATATTGTGTTTTTATCTTTTTAATATCAATAGATATAGTCCGTCTTTTAAATTTTTATAAATCCATAATAAACTACAATAATATAAATGATATTTACATCAGACATATTTTTAACAAGTAATTTTAATAACATTTAATTTTAAATAATCACATTAAACATAGAGAACTTTATTATAGAAATATACTTTTTTTTATATATTATGCAAAATAGTATAAACTATTTTTAACAGCAGAAAATAATAATTCCAGTTTGTATATGTACCAAAAACTTTTCGGTTTTCTATTTGATTATATTGAATTGTTTTTAGACTATGCCAAAATTCCGGATGATGGATTTGTTCGTAGTTCAGGTTCAACATGAATTACTCAATCTAAACTCGTATCTCGTTATAAATTCTGTTATGGAATATAACAACTATCCTGAAAATTATTTATTCTTTTCTCTTTCCCATATTAAAGGTGTGTATATAATCTTGTATAATAAATAATTGAATAAGTTATGAATCTCCTTGAATGTAAATATCATAAAAAATTAAAAAAGTCAATTATAAACAAATTAATTTGTTTTATTAATTTAATTACATTATTATTACTTTCAAAATATATTATTATAATTCTTGCAATAATTAAGAGTAACAAAAAGAATATTTAAAACTTAAAACTAAATTTTTTGTGCAATTAAATAATGTGTACTTTTTATAGCAATAACTATAACATGTTTATTTACTACTACACAAGAATCATGAAAAAACATAAAATCTGCAGATTTTTTATAGTGACCTAATTTATTACTTTTACATATATTTAATTTTTTGGTACTTATATTTGCTTTAATTATGTTCTTTGTTTGTTTTTCATTAAAATGTATTTTACACTTTTAGTTTTTGTTATCTAGATTTAACTACACAAATTGAATTTGTTATTTGGTTTTACAAATAATAAATATATATTTTTATTATATATAATTAATATAT